TTTATTTTTTTTTTATTTTTTTTTTCAGATCTGTTGCACTGTTTGATTTTTGGAAATATTCCCCTGATTGAAACAAGGACTGGTTCAAATGTCGTCTCTTAGTAGAGAGCTGGTGTTCCTGATCTTACAGTTCTTGGATGAGGAGAAATTTAAAGAGACCGTTCACAAGTAAGTTATGATTGTAGTACAAGTGTCGTTATGTGTTTTGCCAGCTCTGTTTTGTCTATTTTTGGGGATTATATATGCAATAATTATGTATTCTTTTTGTCCTTTTTTCCTTCTCAACAAATGTCCCATATCGAATTATAGGCTAGAACAAGAATCTGGGTTCTTCTTTAACATGAAGTATTTTGAGGATGAAGTTCACAATGGGAACTGGGATGAGGTGGAGAGGTACCTCTCCGGTTTCACTAAAGTGGACGACAATCGCTACTCGATGAAGATCTTTTTCGAAATCAGGAAACAGAAGTATCTTGAGGCATTGGATAAGTGAGATTAATATATCCCAAATATGAAAAATCTCAATTGAATCAAGAGGAATTTAAAAAAATATATTTTATATTTTTTTGATTTGAAACGCAGGCATGATCGCTCGAAAGCTGTTGAGATCCTAGTGAAGGATCTTAAAGTGTTTGCCTCCTTTAACGAGGAGCTTTTCAAGGAGATAACTCAGCTGCTGACATTAGAGAATTTCAGGTATTGTTGTGGTTTTTACTTATTTGTCACCAATGTGGTAGAAAACAAGCACCTCTCTTATCTGCCCTCGATGCTTGTTAGGGAGAATGAGCAGCTGTCAAAGTATGGAGACACAAAATCCGCAAGAGCTATCATGCTCGTCGAGCTTAAGAAGCTAATCGAGGCTAATCCCCTGTTTCGCGATAAATTACAGTTCCCGAACCTTAAAAACTCAAGACTGCGAACTCTCATCAACCAAAGGTGGATATCATCAGACCCATATTTTTTTTCTATAATCATTGTTTTGAAATGTGATCGTGTGCAGCATTGCCTGTTTTTGATGTATACCATATCGTGGGCCGTTTTTATATGTAAATTTCAAGACTTTGCTTTGAATGTCCACTAGAGGCTGCTATTAGTATTTTTCATTGCAAAGAGAAAGTTTGAGACAATATGCATTTGCAGCTTAAACTGGCAGCACCAACTTTGTAAAACTCCAAGGCCGAACCCGGATATCAAAACCCTATTCGTGGATCACTCATGCGGGCAGCAAAATGGAGCACGTGCTCCCTCACCAGCTAATAATCCATTGCTTGGTGGGGCCGTGCCGAAACCCGGTGGCTTTCCTCCTCTTGGTGCACATGTGGTGAGTTTTTATGGATAATATGTTACTGTATCTAGGTAATTAATGGCTTTGTGTTAGGGTTTATCATGTTTTGCTTAATTTGACTGTATAATTTGATGTGGTCAGCCATTCCAGCCTGCTCCGGCACCTGTTCCGACTCCTCTTGCCGGTTGGATGTCTAATCCGCCCACCGGAAGTCATCCGGCAGTTTCTGGTGGGCCCATCGGTCTTGGTGCTCCACCGATTCCAGGTAGAGATTCTTATGGTTTTTGCATATGAAACTTCTATTTTGGGCAAGAAAATAATTCCGTGGAAATTGCATGCTGACTAAGTGTTATCCACAAGGACTGTTATTAGGAAGTACATGTTATGCTTTCCATGATACAAGTACTTGTATGCAAATTGCATTAGTATATTCAAATATTATTGTTGAAAGTGAAAGTTATTGCATCAAGAAATGCAAACAGAAAGTTATTAAATTCTTGAAAGGACAATGTGAATGCCTAACTGCTGTCCTGGATATTCATGAGGGACATAATCATGAATTTGCTGAAACACGTGTTACGAGTTGTTTCAATGTAATGCTTTGTCAGGTTCAAGTTGCCTAAATTGGCATAACGATTTGTTGCATTTTGCAGCTGCCCTTAAGCACCCAAGGACACCACCAACAAATCCCGTTGAATTTCCATCTGCCGACTCTGAACATCCGAGCAAAAGAACCAGGCAGTTGGGAATTTCTGATGAGGTGTTTGATTTTTTTTTTATTTTTTATTTTTTTTTTATTTTTTTGTGGGGGCATAACTCTATTTTCTGTCATTTCTTTTCATGTTCTGATCTTTGTTATTTGTGCATATAAACAGGTAAATCTTCCAGTGAATGTTCTTCCGGTTTCTTTCCCAGGGCACCATAGCCAGCCTTCCTTCAGTGCACCAGACGACTTACCCAAGACAGTTGCTCGCACTTTGAACCAAGGATCTTCTCCTATGAGCATGGATTTTCACCCGATCCAACAAACTTTGCTTCTTGGTTGGTTCATCTACAGCCAGATACAATATCTTCAAATAATTTATATTCTGTTTCTTAGTTCCCTCATGTAAAGATCTTGGTAATTTAGTTGGTTTTTGTTGTACCTTGCTAACTCAGTTGGCACCAATGTGGGAGATATTGGGTTGTGGGAAGTTGGTTCTAGAGAGAGGCTCGTGCTGAGAAATTTCAAAGTCTGGGATGTGAGTGCGTGCACTTTGCCTCTACAGGTGCCCACATTCTTCTTGTTCGAAATTTCACCAAAAACTACTTTATTATCATGTAATGAAATTATTCAGCTGGACGTATATAAAATCTCTACTAACTCCAGGCCAGCCTGGCAAAAGATCCTGGTGTCTCTGTCAATCGCGTGATTTGGAGCACAGATGGGTCTTTGTTTGGTAAAATTAGTCTTCAATTTCAGACAGTGAAACCATTAATGCAATTACTTTCTTTCATTTTTTGGGGATGAAAAGTGGTCTGATTGAGTGATGTTTCGTCTTTGTTTTAAATAGGGGTTGCGTATTCAAGGCACCTTGTACAGATATATTCGTATCATGGGAATGACGATATTCGCCAGCACTTGGAGGTGCATTTCTGTTATCTCATGTTTGTTGTTTGAAGTTTCTAGTTTTTTACCATATTTTGCTGATTGCGGCGGACTACTCTTTTTTCCAGATTGATGCTCATGTTGGCGGAGTAAATGATCTTGCGTTCTCCCACCCTAACAAGCAGCTTTCCGTTATTACTTGTGGAGACGACAAGCTTATCAAGGTTGTTTAAGATGCATATTCTTATTGCCTTTTCTATTGGCATTTTGTTTATTGTTTTTTCCCTTAATATTCTTCTTCTTCTTATTTTTCAGGTTTGGGATGCTGCAACTGGCACCAAGCAGTACATTTTTGAAGGTCACGAGGCCCCCGTATATTCAGTCTGCCCCCACCACAAGGAGAATATTCAGGTGGATAGAGAAAACTCTGGATAGTAATACTATCATTCTACTAAATTTTTGAAACCTCTTGCTAATTTTATGCAATTTCTATGATATGTTTCCAGTTCATATTTTCGACAGCATTAGATGGAAAGATCAAAGCTTGGTTATACGACAATTTGGGGTCGCGAGTCGACTATGATGCCCCCGGCCGCTGGTGCACGACCATGGCCTACAGTGCTGATGGATCAAGGTACGTACATATATATACAACATACTTCAATTATACACGTCTTTTTGTGCTGTTTTTATCCATGAGCAGGTTTTTTAATGTAAGCAAGCTCTCGTGCAGGCTTTTCTCATGTGGGACCAGTAAAGATGGAGAGTCCCACATCGTGGAGTGGAACGAGAGCGAGGGGGCTGTGAAGAGGGCGTACCAAGGCTTCCGGAAGCGCTCTCTGGGGGTTGTGCAGTTTGACACGACTAAGAATAAGTTCTTGGCAGCTGGCGATGACTTCTCGATCAAATTCTGGGATATGGACAATATCCAGCTTCTGACGTGCAGTGAAGCTGATGGAGGCCTTCCTGTGAGTCCCTTGGATAACTTGATAAATTAACTAAAAATTCTAAATGGGTTTTCTGTAATTAGGTTGACTCCACGGTAGTTTTTGGTAATTATCCATTGACTTGATATTATGTATGACTTGACTATGTATCATTACTGAGGCTTTTTTTTTTCTAAGGCGAGTCCACGGATTCGCTTCAATAGAGACGGTACCCTGTTGGCTGTTTCCACCAATGAAAATGGTATCAAGATTTTGGCCAACGGTGATGGTCTACGGTTGCTACGGACATTTGAAAATCTTGCTTTCGATGCTTCACGAGCATCCGAGGCTGCAAAGGTATCTATTTTCTTCCATTCCGGTGGCGTTCGTTTTTACTCCTTGAATAAACAAAGATTAGTGAAAGTTTTTCTTGTTTGAAATTTGCAGCCTACTGTAAATCCATTATCTGCCACGGCACCAAGTAGTTCAGGACTTGAAAGGGTGGGCTCGGTTGTTGGAATGTCAGCTATGGTTAGTGTCATTTTTTCTGTCACCATATTTCCCAAAGGGAAAAGACAAATGTGCCTGCCTAAAGGAACTTCGTATTTTGTCATACTCTTGAGGTAGGCATTTAGTTCACAGCTAGAGTAACATGTTTTTGAGTTTTTGTAGAATGGGGACACGAGAAATCTTGGAGATGTGAAACCTAGAATAACAGAGGAAACTAATGACAAATCAAAGATATGGAAGCTGAGTGAGATTAACGAGCCCTCTCAGTGCCGGTCCTTGAAGCTCCCAGAAAATTTAAGAGTTACAAAGGTTTGTTACATAATCTGTAAGTTCGTTTAATGGATTTATAGGAATGTATAATTAAAGTTGTGTCTATTATGTTGATACAACAGATATCAAGATTGATATATACAAATTCGGGCAGTGCAATACTGGCGTTAGCTTCGAATGCAATCCATTTGCTGTGGAAATGGCAGCGAAGTGACCGTAATTCGAGCGGCAAGGTAAAAAAAAAAAACAAAAAAACAAATGTAAAAACTACAAAGTTTACCTCCAAGATTTCACAAGAAAATTATCCTGAAGAAGTATTTTTCGCACTGTTAGGCAACTGCGAATGTATCTCCTCAATTATGGCAACCGTCGAGTGGGATTTTGATGACCAATGACGTGGCAGAGACGAATCCTGAGGAAGCTGTTTCTTGCTTTGCTCTGTCCAAGAATGACTCCTACGTGATGTCAGCATCTGGGGGAAAGATATCTTTATTTAACATGATGACTTTCAAGGTGACCTTTGTTTTTATAATGTTCCCTTTGTATATTTTTTTTTTTTTGTCAATTTTGTGCATGTTCTGATCTGTTGCACT